AAAAACATCACATCCATGCTAAAGAATGAGAAGGAATTCGGACCGACACTTCCAGGACAGCTGCATATCATGAAACAGATGGACATGAAGCAATAGTCCACACACATACCAGACAACATAAGCATATGGAGAACAAAATATCTTCCCAAACCACTTTGGAGTCTTTGAGAGAAGCTGAGATTGCATTCTAGGCTGAAGGAGCAGGGATATGAAAACACAGAACTATACTAGAAGCATTAGGAATTTTCCCAGGTAACATCCCAGGCGAGGGGAAAAGAACCTTGGAAGTATCACAGGAGTCAGCAGCTCTCTTGGATGCCTTTTGCTCATCATTACATCTATTCAGAAGTTTTAATCAAGCAGGTCTCTGATATGGATGCTGGTGACGTACCCAGACATACGAATGCAAGTGGTGGAAGTCTGTTTGGGAGTCATGGGCATAACCCAAATGTTCCAGTGGTTTTGAAAGCTGGTTTTGAAAATTGTTAATGCACACAGATTAATAATGCAAAGGTACCACCTGGAACAGGAGGAACTTGAACAAGTGGTGTAGACAGGATAATGTTAATACAATTTACATGTTGCAGGAATTTGCTTCAGTTGATAACTCTGTTCTGAGAATCCACACTTTTGACCTGAAAGCAGGACCCAAAAAGGGTGAGAGAGGAAATGAAGGCTCCCATGTTCCACCTGTGACCCTCCCGCAGCCTGGGATCTAAGGAGACAAGCACTATTCTCCTGAATGTTTCTGTTGCAGAAGGCAACTCATGAGTTTTTAATTTAAAAATATTTGTCTGTGTTTTAGTCTGCTTGGCATCACATTTCTGAGTCTGCAGAACTCACTCAGGCTAAAGGTATGTGGATTGTACTTCTATAATAAACTTATCTAAAAGAACAAACTGATGCTTTTCTCCTTAACACTTCTGAGAAGCATTCAGTGACAGCTGCAAAGAAAGTGATGCTGGAAAAAGCTGCAGCATTTTCCTTTCAGCATTTCATCCATTTTTTCAAACCAGGTGATATTGAGGAATATGAACATTTATGAGAGTAGGATCCAGCAGTGCAACATGATGCTGAAAGCAGATATTGGAGAATATGCCAATCATGCCATTAAAGGATTAGAGAAGGCCAGGTTAGTTTATCAGTTTTTAGTTGTATTTTTTATTCTTCATACACATCCTCTTGAATTTTCATGTTATTGCTTTTGTAAAAGTTGAAAAAGCTGTTCTGTTAGCTGCTGACTAGTAGTGCACCATCAATCTGCTCTATAAGCTCTAAAAACTCATGGATCAATGTGCTGTGGCTATGGGATCAAAGGCAGAGTTTCTGAAGTCATCCACAGCAACATGAGCTGTAATTCACAGGGGACATTCTGCTAACCCAATGATTCGTAAGAGAGAGCTCATGAGTCAGTAGAAGTTTCCTTTTCTGATAAAATATGAAAGTCCTAAAACAAGTCTCTTAGTATTTTTATCTCTTTTTTTTTTTCCCCAAACAAAATGTTAATTCTATTTCTGATGTAATTCTCTTTTTCAAATACAAGTACATGATAAATTTGGTAAATGCTAAGCAGGTCCTTCATGGAAATAAGCTGGTTTCTCTCTTCTAAGGATTTGGTTTTAAGAGATTTTTAGCACATCAATTTCAGAACAATTTTACATGCTAAAAATAGTTAGCAAATCTGACTAACAAACCTTAGAACTCCCAAATTTCTTACTCCAGATGATTTAGCTATTTTAGGTAATACTTGATTTATGTACATTGCACAAGTTTGTATACAAATGGTAAGACAAACTTTCAGAAAACTTTTGCTCTTTGGTCCATCTTGTCTAATTGGTTTTCCATCATTCCTAAATTTTGCAATTTTATAGTTGTAACTTTTTAAAATTTTAATATAATTGTAACTGTTTTGATTTTTTTGTTTTATTAAGTGGAACATTAAAGAAACAATTAAAGCAAAAATGGAGAGTAACAAAAGATATTTGATAACACATAAAATAAAGGTAAAAGGTTCAGTAAATGTGAGGGTGCTGTGCATCAGGATTCCTGTAAAAACCACTGAAAATTACTTGATTTCCCAGGAGTTGCCTGTGTTTAATTACTATCCTGGGCTCTTAAGTACTATTTTCTCCCGAATGACACTTTCTTGAAAGGGCACAGTGGGAGCTACCATCTGAAAAGGGTCCATCTGCCTAGATCTTGGAGGACTCACTTAGGACGTCAGTGGAAAAGGGTCTTTTCTCCATCTGTCTGTTTATAAAGAACTATTTTTCTTTTAATGACTTACTCTTATCAAATGTGGAAATAGTAGTGTATGTAAGCTTTGGGGGTGAAAAAAATTGGAAAAGATAGAATTTGGATTGCCATCCCAAACCCTTGTCAGTCATCCCAAACCAACTTCCTTCAATGAAAATCCTCTCAAGAAATGTGAGGAAGGACTAAGGAGAAAGGGTGAGGTGCCATCTCTTCCTCAGTTTGTCTTCAAGAAGAGGAGATGGTGGCTTGCAACAGGATGCTGAAGGGAAATGAGGCAGTTTTTAGTGCAGCTGAAGGGTGCTTGGGGCATTTGGGGCCAATTCAAAGCTCCACTGGAGACTTCCTGAGTAAACAAGAGGAACCACTCGATCTCCCTATGACTCAGTTTCTTGTCTATAGAATAGGGAAAATAGATGGTATTGTGAGATTAGATGCACTACAGATTTCTCAGATCGCTAAGGGAGCCCTAGAGAGGTTTCTTTATCATCACTGTCATCCCTAGAGAGGTTCTGAGGCTGCTTTAGCTGGCCTGACAGCATGTTGTCCTACCTAGTGTACTACCTGCAAAAGCCAAAGTTACAGCAAACCACATTCACCAGGTACGGTATGGAAGGGTGCAGCACAGTACATCACAGCCCCAAATGGTTCAGTATGGTAAGAAACCCCTGATTTGCCAGTGACTTCAATTTTTAGTCCCCTCAGAGCACGCAGCCATCCATACTGCACATACATAGCAACTGACAGCAGACTTGTTTTTCACGTATCCCTCAGACCGAGTTGGCTGCTCCCCTCCTCCCTGCCAGGGACCGCAGTCCGCAGGACTCCTGCGAGACCCCCTCTACAGGCTGCGCTAGCTCAGGCTTGCTAGCGCTGGAAGGAAACTTCTTTCTTCTCCGCTTCCTGCTGCCAGCAGCGTTTGGCTTTTCCCGCAGCGGCGCCCTCGGCGGGAGCGGGACTGAGGAGGAGGAGGAGGAGGAGGAGGAGAGGGGCTGGGAACTGGGGCTGAGGAGCGGGAGCGGGGGCAGCCGCGGCCCCCTCGAACCCGCCCTGGCCGCGGGGTCCCGGTGCAGCCTCCCCTCGTCGCTCTCCGCTCCAGGCCAGGAGACCGGGCAACAGCAGACTTCGCAGTGCCCCAGCCACGCGTCCCTGCGCCACCCAGGAGATGGCTTTCTCCTTCCTCTCTCCTCCTGCGAGTAGCTGAGTCAAGACCACCGTTCTCCCCCAGGTCGTGCACACTGCACAACGCCTATGCGCCCTAGCCGGGATATTTCTGAGGTGAGGGGAATACGGTGCCATTGATGCTCATCCCGCCATTCCGGAGCAGAATAGCTCCTTCGACCCCTAGTTATGTAGTAACAAGGGGAAAATTTCCTGAAATTAGACTACTGCAGGAACTCTGGTTTTAGTCACAGCTGTCATCCGAGAAACAAATTTCCAGGCATTTTTAATCTAATTCACTTATTCTTTATGTAACTGAATTAGAAAATGTGATTAAGCATCGCAGAATCTTCGGCATTGAGCCTGCCTAACCTTTAGTGAAACATGAAACAGAAAAACTTATTAGAAGTAAGAAGAAATGGTGAAATCGTCTGTATGGATTTGGTACAATCGTTACCTACTGAGTAGGAGGATTAGAGGCACAAAAACTCAAAAAAAAAAAAAGAAAAAAAAGAAAAAAAAAATTGGATGATGATCTTTACAACTGAAATTCTTCCGCGGTTGTTTGGCAAATATTTCAGGGCAGGCACCGAAAAGACACGGTGGGATACCGAAGGGGTGCTTGCTGGAGCAGCGCCGTCCTGCCGGCCCTCCCGCGGGTCCCACGCCCACATCCCCTGTGTTTCTTTCTCTGCTGCCCTCTGATCTCTCTGAGGCAGGGAAAATTCGAAGGAGAAAAATCAAAGGCTTGAAACCGATTCTCCCTTGCTGTGGCATCCCCGATGTTTGGGCTTAAAACATCTTAGAAGGAAGAGCTGATCCCCCTGCTGTTCAGGGGGGTTTAACATACGCTCCAGCCGCGCTCCCTGCGCGCCGCGCAGCGGAACCGTCACAAGCACCGCCGTGCTCGGCTGCACCAAGAGGCGCTTGGATGTGGGGCTTAATCCGTGTTGCACGAACACGCACGCAGTTTAAACAAGATAGCGAAGAGTAGAAAGCACCCCAACACCTGCCAAAATAAAACTAAAACTCGTACGAAAATTTTGTTTTTCAGACCAGCTCCCTGCGCACCTCGGGCGGGAACCTCCATCAGGGACTTGCATGTGCCGGGGATGGAGAGGGACCAGGTTAGCACGGAAACACTGCCGAGGAGCTAGGGAAAGGAGCAATCCTGAGGCGCGGAAGGGGCTCCTCAGGGAAGCACGGGGGCTGAGGGAGTGGGGGCTGGGAGCGGAGGATCCCAGAGAGCACAGCCACCTTCTCTCCGGCTATGCCGGGTGCGGGCAGGGATGCGCGGTGTGGCGCGTTCGCAGAGCCCGACGGCCGCCTGCTCTCCCGCCTGGCGAGGCGGAATCACCCTTCCGACGGGGCTCCGCTCCTCCAAAACTATGTCATTAACATAAATCAAATAATGGCCGAGGGGGTGAGGGGGAGGGGGAAGAGGTACGCGACTGCTCATGTGTTAAATATAAGTCTCTGACTGTCCTGAACAAAGCGACCGTCCCCTTGGGAAGGGTGACGTCTCTCCAGTAACGTGATTGCTTCTTCGGAAGCAGAAACGTGTAAACGCTATAAAACGCGGTGGCGCGGCGGGCAGCTCAGAGCGTGCGGCGAGACGGAGCCCTCCTCTTCATCCTCCTCCTCCTCCTCACCCTCTGCTGCCGCCGCCCCGGCAGCCGCGCAGCGGAGCAGGGCGCACTCCCCCAGCACCGCTCCGCTCCGCGCCCGCCCAGCCAGACCCACCGACGTACTCGCGGCTCCGTGAGTAACTTTCTCCCCGCCACAGCGGCAACTTCCCAGCGCATGAGGAACGATGTTCCCGTCCCGTACCCTCGCTCCTCTTCGCCCCTCCCGGACCTGCAGGGAAGCCATCCCGGCCGTCGGGAGCGGGGAGAGATTCTGAAAACCCAGGGTAGCCGGGGCGGGACCCTCCCTTGCTACCGCTTAAGTCGCTGAGCCCGGGGCACCGCTGCCCCTCGCACCGGGCCGGGGGTCGCCTTCGGGGACGCCAGCTCTCCCTGACCGCGGGCAGCTGCCCCGCCATCGCGACCCTGCTGGCCGCCGGCGTCTTTCGGCACAGAGACCTGGCTTGGGAGCGGGATCGGGGCAGTCGCTCGGCGGCCCGAGGCGAAGCCCCGGGGCCAGCGGGTGCGGGCGGGCCGGGTCGGAGGGTGACGGCTGCGCTCTTCCCTCCGCAGGTGGCGGCCATGGAGCACCGCGGCGCCTCCCCGCTCCTCCTCGCCCTCGCCCTCCTCAGCGCCCTCTGCTGGCGGGCGCGGGCGCTGCCCCCGCGGGGCGCCGCCTTCCCTCCCGTCCCGCGGTAAGGCCGCGCTCCGCTCCGCGCCCCGCTCCGCGCCCCTCTGCCCTCAGGGACCTGCCCAGCCCCGGCTGGTGCCGAAGGGGCTGTGAGAAGCGCCGCTCCTCCCGAGGAACGCGCAGTGCGGCGCTCGCCGTCGGGTGTTTGCTCGGCATCGGGCGGTGCGCGGGGTCCCCGCGGCGAGGCTGCGGTCAGGCGGTCCCGGCCGGTGCCCGCCGAACCCACCCGGTGAAAGCCCCGGGACACGCACGCACCTCCCGAGGCGGCTGCAGCGCTGCCCCACGGGCTGGGTGGCGGTGAGCGCGGTGTGCGCGGGGCGGACGCGATGTGGGTCACGGTGAGCCCTGGGACGGGTCCATGGGGACAGGCGGAGGGCAGGTTTGTACCTCCGAGGGCTTCGGCCGGTTGCTGTTAGTGGTCCAGCTGAATTAAATCAGATAGCAAAACGGTACGGTTTGCATTTAGGTGAGAGAAGCATACAGTGTAGAAGGACCGATGAAAAACAGGCAAAAAAGCACTGACTGACTTCCAAAAGGTGTGACTTGAGCCTGTTCGTTTTACACAGCAACTTTGCACCTTTTTTTTTTTTACCAGATGGAAGACTTACATGAATCAGACATATAAATGGTGCTAAAGGTGACTTTAAAATTACAAGGACTTAAGTCTATCTTAGTTTTAGTATGTGACTTTTGCATGTCATCACACACAGGGGTTTTCTACAATGATTTCCTTGTCTGCCACAGAATATCAGAGCAGCCAGAAGGAATGATGCCAAACCACTGCTATGCAGTCAGACTGCCCTTGATAAAATATGACACTTCATAAGAAACTGCAGTTTACGAAAATGTGAACTGTACATCAGTTTATACAGAGCAATTGCATGATACATTTGAAGAGATTAAAAGATTTTTTGTCTTCTATCATGAGAGAATAAAAACATGTAGAGATACATGACTGCACTTTTTATTTAGTTTGAAGTTCTTGCTGTATTTGCTTTCTTTGGAGAAGGCCTAAGAACTGTTTCATTCTGCATTTCAATGCACATCTTATATCTTAACTGGGAGGTAAGTACGTCACAGGAGCAGTTTTCACTTTGGTGGAGGCTGTTAATTTCATCCATCATTTATACAAAATGCAGTTGTTAGGAAAAGCTTCACAGTTGTCACTTGTACTGTGATTGTCATACATTATGCACTGGAATAAATTGCGTTCAGTGACAACATTGATCTAGAAAATATGAATTTGAGAGAAGGATCTGTTGTGTCAATTAATCTAGAATTAAGCATGGATTCTACCTGAAAGTGATTTTTGAATTATCCAGTTTTCTTTTAAATGCTTTACCAATGAAAGTGGGTAGATGTGAATTTCGACACAAACCAGAATGTTATCTCTAGTAAAGTGTCTCGTGTCCTCAGCTAGCTGTACTTTACACGGTTTCTTTCTCCAACAGATTGGGAAACAGAATGCCATTTGATGGAGCCAGTGAACCTGACCATGCCCGTGGGTCATTAAAGTCAGAATCAGATATTTTGCAGAACACACTACCTGAAAATGAGAAATTCTATTTTGATCTGTCCAGAATTATTGATAGGTGAGCTTCTTTATTATCATAAATACAAAAGATGATGGACTACTCGATTTCTGCCAAAAAATCATTCACATTTTCAAACTGAGATTAGGAAAGGAAGACTCAGTTATGGAAGAAAATCCCACAGCCGCTGCTTGAATACTGGTAGCAGTAGGGATGTCGGCAGAAATGTTGATTGTATTGCCATTCTGGCATGATGAATGCTTTCACTTTACAGGAAGGAGTAAAAAGTATATTGCGAAAATCTGAAAGTTATTTTATGAAATTAGTTCCCTTTAATATGTACAATAGTTAAATTAAGGAAAGCAGTATGTTTGCAAAATGAACATTATCAAAATTATATGAACCCAGGCTGTATTGTAGAGTTTATTTATTGTCCATTTCAGAAATGCAAGGCATGCTGATGGAATTTTCACCAGTGTCTACAGCCATCTTTTGGCTAAACTTGCTGTGAAGAGATATCTGCATTCGCTTATTAGAAAACGAGTTAGGTGAGGTGACACATTAGGTAGACTTTTTTTCCTAGCTGGCTTTATTAGAAATATTTTTTACCCTTCTGTATCCAAGGTCTCCTTTTTGTGATTTAGAGGTACCAAAAGAGAAGCCTATATAATTGTGGGGGAGCTGAAAATCCTATATGAGTATTTAGTGATATTACTAAATGAGAATGTTACTATTTATTTCTGACACGGCTGTGAGAGGTAGAGCAACAGACACTGCACAAAGCGTGGATAATGTGTACTGAAAATATTATAATGATTATCATGCCAAATTGCTAATTGTTTTTTTCAGTAGTGTTTTTACTAGCTCGGTGGATGAGTGGCAAAAGTAAATACAAAGTGATTGATTACTCGGTACTTAACAAGAGGGAAGTACACAATGAAATCACTAAATGATTGGTTTATAGTGAAAATGTAAAGGTATAGGGGTTTTTCTGCTGTAGAACACATTGACAGATGTTTGTGAGATCTGTATTGCAGCAGAATCCAAAAAATGAGGCAAATTTATAAACTAGGGGTCTGGATGCAACTTCCGGACCAATACATCAATAAACTAATGGGCACAGCGTGCTAGGTAGAATCACTGTATAGTTCCCTTGTTTTCAAATCCATAAACAGCAACTGTGAGCCACTGTGGCAATACCACTGAGTGCCTACTTCATATGCTCAAAAGCCAAGTAAAAATTAGGTCCTCCATTTATGTCAGTGCTGCCTTTGTTCCAGAACATACAGTTCCAGTTTCTCATATGCTGTGAACTAACACAGACCATTTAAAATAGAACACCCTGGCATTTCCCAAGATTGTGCATGAAGAAAAGACCTCCAGGTTTGGCTTTCACAAGGTGTATTTTGTCTTCTGAAACCTTAGAATAAGCATTTATAGCTATTTATGTGATGCTCCACTCTACCTTTCCTCAGTGACAGACTCCACCTCCACTGAGTTCAATGTGAACAGTGATGAGGTCCTTGAAGAGCTTATTGCAACTTAAACCTTGGCATTGTACTGAAATACATTCACACAAATTATAGAAATTAGAATAAAATCTGTTTATTAAAAGGTGCTACCTGGGGTGGAGGAGTCATGAAGTCCACACTTATGTATTTGATCTGGCAGAACTCCTTACACAAGGACTTTAGAAATCATTGACAGTGTATCCTAATTGCACAGGCCATGGCAGATGAGATGAGAAAACAATGAGTGAAAGGTGTTCCCCAAAAGGCTGAATAACAATTTTTGGAATTTGATCCTTGTTATTAAAATACATAGTAAGCCGTGGAAGCAGTGGCTTTTTTTCAGCAGAAGAAAGATCTGAAGTCATAGATGGAAATGAAAGATGAAATGAAAATTTGATTTTAGTAGGCTAATCAATACCATAAAGCTTATTTCACTCATTTAATTGTATTTTCTTTTAAACAGATGTCGTCTCTTAACTTTTCCTTTGTAATTGTTGTATTGCCAGCTCCCAGGACAGTCCTGTCAAACGCCACTCTGATGCTGTCTTCACCGACAACTACAGCCGCTTTCGAAAGCAGATGGCTGTGAAGAAATACTTAAACTCAGTTTTAACTGGAAAAAGAAGGTACTACAAGAAAGCACATATGTATTCTTTCCATACTTCTATGGCATTAAAAGGTTTATATCCATGTATGTATACAGAGAGGACAAACAAAAGGCACTCAATGTTAATGACTTGATAGCATAGTTTATAGCATGGTTTTCAAATACAGACAACATTTCTTCCCAGACTGGAACAGACACCACAATCAGAATAGAAGAATAAAGAGGAGATGGCATCTGGCAATTTAAAAAATCTTCCAAAAGATTCTTAAATGGTTTTTGTTTAGAAAAAATCTTCTTAAGGAAAAAACCCTCAGAGCTATGGAACATGAGCAACAATTTAATAAAGAAATATGTTGAAAATTTGCCTCTCTGTGAACACATGAAATGAAAAATTGAAAATCCTTGAAGGACTATATGTCCTCATCAGTATAGGTGAGACGTGAACATACATTTTTGTAGACCTTGTACTCAGTTTGTGTATTTAGTCAGACAACTGCTTTTAAATATCATGTCTCTGTATTCATTAAACATGCAATTTCATATGTTCTGTAACACTATGGTTTAAGTATAAGAAAATGTGCAGAAGTTACAGTTAGAAGAAGGCTTTGCTTTCTTTGCTTTTTCTTCCAAGATCAATAAAACTTGTTTCTGATCCACAACAGCCAGGAAGAGCTAAATCCTGCCAAACTTCGAGATGAAGCAGAACTTCTTGAACCATCCTTTTCAGAAAACTATGATTCTGTAGATGAGCTGCTGAGCCACCTCCCACTGGTGAGATGCCAATATTGTCTTTTCTCTTGCTATCTGTAACTTGACTTGACTCATAAAATTACATTATTTGTACATGGAGTGTGGCCTATCAGAAAATCAGGATATTCTAGGAAAGGGAGTCATGTTCCATGAAAAGCTTTATATTTCTAATATTTCTTCACTCATTGTGTCTGAATAAAATAATAATTTTAATAATAAGGTTTATGTTATCACATGATTGCTGCTATTGAAAATTCCTAATTAAATGGCACTGTTCATAATGCACCTAACTCACTTGGGTGTTTCAACCAGTGAGCACTGCAGCATAAAACCAGAAGTGACTGATTTTTAATTACAAAGATCATTATTTCTTCAGAGAAAAAACTTAGGGATATTTCTTTTAATTAAAAAAATGCTGCAGATTTTGTTTAACATCTTTTTCATTAGAAAGAAGTTGCCCCTAGAACTAAGAGTATCAGCAAGATGAGTAGTACTCAAGTACTTAAGAAAATACTTGACATGCAAATCTTGCAGTTACTGTTCTCCATTTAGCTACTACTATTTTTTCTAAAGTCATTCACAATTATTTTCTTTTTAGTTTACTGAAACATAATCCCTTCTACATCAACACTTGCAGGAACAAAATATTGAAAGAGTAAGGTAGAAGCAAATTTGGCTTGGTATTGTTGAAAATGTGTTATGAAATTGATGATGGGATAGTTTTTGGCATTCAGCTGTGTCTCAAAAAGTAAGAAAAAAGATTAAAAGGCTATTCTTGAATATAAAATTTGAAGAAACGTCTTTTTTTGTATCATCCCGAACCACCCATCCCTCTGACCCAAAAAAGATGTTTCCTTTCAAGACTGAAATAAAAGTGAAAATGTTCTTTTCCTTTCCACAAATGTGGCAATTCCTCTAAAGTTCCTGAAGGTTAGAAAGGACATAAACTGCTTATGCACTGAGGAATTAAATAATTTTTAAGCAATATGATTCTGGAAAGAAATGTTCTTTCTGGACAAGATTAATGCAAGAAATATCTACTCTTAGATTTTGCAGCTTCTCAAAGTTCTGGCATTAACGAAGGGAGAAAGAATAGTGGTGCAGCAGGTCGTAGAAAAAAATATTTTCAGTCCTTTCCATTGTTATTGACTTTACTGATGAGGCAGATCTACCTGTAGGTGAATCAGTATTGACTGTTGCTTGGCGTTTTATTGCAGTGCCCAGTTGCTAATGTAGTGAGGAAAGAGCAACCTAAATTTGTGTATCTATTTCAAGGATACAGGTTTTTTCAAAGTGGGCAATTCTGTGCTGTAGTAACAATTTTAGTCTAATCTGCAGTACCATTTTTAGTCCTTCAACCTTTCTTTTCTCATCCTATGGTCTGGTCTGAGTGTGATGCCCAGCAAACCCCTGTGACCAGCCACATCTCAGCTTGCCAGTCCCCAAGCACAGCAATTGTTTTGTATCAAGTGTTCCTCAATGCCTGCTGTCTGCCCTCATACACCTCATGATGCAACTGCTTGCAAAAGTCACTTCTAAAGCACATCTCTCCTTTGCTTTTCAGGACCTCTGAAGGACACCTGGTAAAGTCTATGACAAGAACAAGCTATTTTTGAGTTCCACATAGTATTTCAAAGAGATGACTTTAGTCATCAAACCAGAACAAATATGTTGTGAAGTGAAAGTTGTGATATATTTGTTTCTTACGTAATAAAAGTTGATATTTACATTGTAAATATTACTCTAGCATTCTCTACTGAAAGCTGTACATATGGATGCCAGTTTAACTCATAAGAAGTCTGTGAGTCCATATGCTGTAAATCCTTTACTTCAATAAATTCATTTGAAAATGAGTGTGCAGCTGAAAAGAGCCCATCATGACTAATTAATTGGCTTATTTTAGGTGTGTTCCAACTTCAGACAAACATGTGCAATCATAAGGAAACATTTCTAGATAACCTCATAACATATAACAACATGAGGGGAAGAATGTCCAAAGTGTGTAAAACTGCTTTACAAAGATCTCTGAAGGTTATTGCCAAGAAATGCTTTTCTAGCAGTTTACCAAGCAACCAAGCAACTAGAAAAAAATGAATAAGAATACAAAATGTTTTGACCTCCAGCAGTATCTTTACTTCTGGTTCACATTTTTAATATTTCACAGCATATAAATTATATCCAGACCAGAAATGTCCTCTTTATTTTCAGTTATGTTTTAGATGCTCTGGGGCTGACAAATCACTAAAAGAATGCAATCTTTTGACTTGTTTGATGCCTAAAGTCATCAGTTATTCTATATTTAATTGTCTTTAGCTTTGATGATGAAACTATTGCTTATATATAAAATAGACCTGAAGACAGTTTACTATTTTTTCAGAATGAATGTAATTTACAGAATATTCAGACAATAAATCATTTTATTATCATGGCAAGCTATTACTGGTTTGAATCAGTGCTATAGCTACCTGGAACAACAGAGGTTCCTGTAAGTGCTGTCTGTACCGTAGTAATAGGGGAAGATAATATTTTTAACTGATTTATGTGATATTATTTTAGAAAGACAACTAAACAAACCTATGGTCCCCTTTTCTGTAGCTTTCTATTGTTGCAGATGACCATGGAACTGAAAATTTGCAGCTGTTTGAGTCACAGCACTGATGTAGAAAGTAGAAAAACTTATCGGACCTACTTACAAGCTCAATTTGGAATTTCAAGTGTATTTATAAATCATACATAGGCACACATAGACAGCGATAAAACTGATTTGCAAGTTTCACTTACAAGTTTACTGTTCTCATTTAGAAAGAAACTTCTAACATGATAAAATCTGAGACTTATGGAGACTGGTTCTCATAAATATGTAGCCCTCCAATTTGCAATTTTTTTGAATATTGGCAACTGCATGTCAAAAGAAAACCAGCTTTCACAGATCAGGTGCTAATATTGCTATTTCTATCTATCCTTGACAGAATCTATTTTAGCCTAAGCCAATGAGTGTTTCACAAAAGTTATATTTTCACAAGAAACATAATTTTGAAGTTGTCTCTTGAAAATTAGTTTTCCACCTCCAATTCCTATCATACTATGAACATCTGAAAGCAAAAACATCTTTGTAAATACTTGAAGGATACTAACAGACATGCTAGAATACTTTTTTAGAAATTTTCCTCAGTGTAGTTTGAACAATGTTAGTATTTCTGTGAGATGCAATCATTAAAAAATAAGTGAAAAAAAACCAATGAAAACCAAAGCTGCATATGGTCTTTATACACAGAATTCTTTTAAAATGTGTGTAATTCACTCAATTTAAAGTATCAAAAATCAGAATAATAATAATTAGAATAATCAAACTTTTGACTACACAATTCCAGAAATATTTTTTCCTAAATTTTTCTTTTAATTATTTTTTTGTTTCCAGCTTACCAATAAGGCATCTGATGGGAGAACTTGTCTTCCATGTCCAATGTATTATCTTCCTGATATGCCTGATATTTTGTTCTCCATTGAAATTTGCAGAATCTGGAACCTGTATTTTCTCTGTTACATGATGATGGAGAAGAAAACAGAGACATTGATTAGGAAATCATATATATATATCTACACACACACACACACACACACACACACATTGTAATAACTCAGCATACCTTCCCCTGAGGGTCAGCAAATAGTGACAGTCTAAGAAGCGTGCTGAATTTTGTGTACATTGTAGCAAAGCCTAGCACTGACAAGGGAGGCGCTAACTTAGAGGATAGTACTTTTGTCTTTGACTTTCCATAGGAGATTTGAAGCCAAATTAATACAGTGAGAGTGCTTAATTGAGGAAGAGGTGACATTGTTCACCTCAAACCCAGGGCAAATGGTCAGGGTAAGGTTAAATGATGAAACTGAAGAGAAATTGTAACATTTCACTGAATGACACAAGTTTTCATTTCGTCAATGATTTGATATATCCCACCAATCCTAAAGCCCATCTGCAAAATGTCTTACGAGTGGAATCAAAACATTTCAATTAGGAGAATGAACACGTCAGCTCCTAAGGGAGTGTTGGGAGAACTGCTAGGAGGAAAAAAATACCCAGGAGATGCAGAAGAGCACCACAGCAGGGAAAATGCAACCACTGGGGAAGGAATAAAACTGTGATGGGTTATTGGGGTGTATATTAAAGGAAGATCTCACCATGTTTCTTCAGAATTTCACTTCTAACACATGGTAGGAATACCTGTGGTCTCACAGGATAGAACTAATTAGTTTTTGTTTTATTAAATGGGGTTAGCTTTTTAAAGCTTCCCTCTGGAGCTCTTAAAGAAAGGTTCAGAATCACCTTTAAGTGCGTCTTCACCAGCACTAGAAGAGGATCTTTTTTAGGCCTAAATCCTGAGAGAGGAATTTCATGCTTGTGGGCATCTGTGCATTCATCATCCATTCAAGAACAGTCAGAATTGTGTATGACACCATGAGAATTACAGAAGTTGACAAAACAATTTAAGATTACAATCAGTAAAGCACATTAAAAACTAATAAAACTCTAACTGCTCCTCTGATATTTTAAATAGATTTGAGGGGTAATGAGAGTTTGTTCCACCTGAAAGTCTGAGAAAAAAATTCTGTTTAAAACTATGGAAATGGATAGATTTGATCCAAAGCATCGTTATAATTTCATGTATAGGCATATTGAGTTCTCCCCAAAGATGGAAAGAGTTGTATGCATACAGGAATAATTTATTTCCATGCAAGATATTTGGGGCAGGGAGATGGAAGAGGCTGCCAACTGCCTTTAGTGATGCTACTTATGCTTTCCACTACCTCTTTTATTTTTCCTAATTTTTTCTCTCCCTCCTCCCACTGACCACGGGCTTTCCCACACTTTAATAATCTCACTGTTGCCTTGCAACGTTGGTGTATGAATATACCTTTCCTTTTGAGAAGAGCAATTAGAGCAGAATTTAAGTTTAGGGCACAGCAATTAAAGAACTACCGGCCTTGTTGATGGAGAGGAGTATTGCAGAGGACCTGGTACAATCAGGCTTATAGGAGCAGATTTGTAGGAGCAGTAAACAGTCCCTGACTTACCGCTGGAGACTTCCCATTTACTGTGTGACTGGCAGGGAAGACTGAAAGATCCTCTCCTTGGATACATCAAACAGAATGCGTGTCCTCCCGGGGCTCGCGCTGGCTCAGGCAACTACAATATTTTCAGCTTTTCTGATCTGAAGCAGTCCCAGACAAATTGCTTGCCAGCTTGCCAAATTGGTTTAGAACTGGAAGTAGGAAACCAGCCACCCATCTTTTACACCAATCTTTAAAAAGTCCAGAGAATAATTTGATGCATATTCTTCTTCTGATGTAAACAAACAGGAAAGGTTTTATTTCAGTTTTGCACACAGATACATGCAGACCACTTAGGGACAGGAAAAAAAAACAATTTTTCCTTGTGAGGATAAATATTTTCAAAAACTTAATTAACCAACATTTATAAATAAAAATATGACTGACTACTCAAAATTAAACCAAAAATGGCATAAATAATAATGATACAGTAAAAAGAGATACATATCTAAATATCAACATTATCATGGTAAGAACAATATTTTCAGTAGAGAATATTTTTAGGAAAGAATGAGGGTTGTTTCCATAATGAGATAAAAAAAAGAGTAAATTATCTTGTTATTCCCCATTGAGCAGATTATTTAGTATTAGATCAACTTTTGCATAGAATAATATGCTTAGGAGAATGTACATGAGAAAGGTGCATAAGATCCATTTTCTGTATCCTTTTCTAGAACTGGTCTGAACATTTCAGTGAGACCACAATATCTAATAGCCTAAGTTATTTCTAAACATGAGATAGAAATGCTTTTAGTATGTAGATACAGTTATTTAATAGTTTTCTAATGAGAATTTATCTAACACAAATCCTATTTTTGGAATGGTGGGAAAGTAGAAGAAAATCTAAAAACAGTCACTGTCTTCTGTTAGATGAGCTATATCTGTGAAGACCTTTCTACTTAGGAAATGTATTCAGAGCAGCAACTTTCATCAGTAGTTTATCAAATAGCAAAGCTGTTGACTGGGAGGTGTCAAGTTGTTACACATCAGCCTTTTGGTAGAGAATAATTCATTTATATGGAAGGCTGGGAGGCTCCTAGCTGTTTGCTTGTTTTATACACCCTTGAACTGTTTTCACAGAAAGTGGTCACAAGTATCTTTGACAGATGTCTTATCACCATTTGTTTCTATTCTAACACAGTTCTTAATCTTTGTTTTTCAGACAATCCCTCTTCCCATAATCACAGCCAGAACATCTGCACACTGATTTAAGCAAGCAATTTTCTCTTATTAGGGAGTATAGAAAGCAAACTACTGCATTCTAGGAAGAGTCTTCATGAAAAGGCCAAGGATATATAATTTATGCAGAAAGACTGAGTCTTGCCTAAAAAAAAGAAGAGTTTGAGAAATTCAAGATTTGGTGTCAGTAGTTTTAGTCCCATCTGATGATTCCTTCCACAGCAGTGCATTGTACTTGGAGTTCCAAAGCTGCTGTCAGAGCTCTGGTCTTGAGCTTGTAGTAAGAAAGAAGAAACCAGTAAATGTGGAGGTAGAGCAGGTGAAGACTATGTCTTCAGAAAGTGCCTGATGTTAAACTCAGTTTATATAGGGCTGTTTGCTCCATGTAGGTTTATGACTCTTGCTTTGAGAAGAAATAGCCATCTTTTGCTGTCAGAGGACCTCACATTACATAAGTTCACAGGCTAAACTGACCCACATCTTTTCAAACACTTGTTACCTGCTAATCTCCCTTTTGTTGGAGTACCATTACTCCTCTCAGGGATCTGTAATCCTAGATGTATTTATAGACAGCTTTTCCCTCTCAGCCCTGCTTTGTAAGGCTGAAGAAACTGTTTGTCTTGTCTAGTCTTATAAATGAATCCATGTTTCCAAGACTGTGCCGGAGCCCCATGCCCAGTGGGCCCATGTTCTGTAATGAGTTGAACACTGCTAAATTACTGTTTGCTAACTGAATCTGAAAGTCTATATTGCAGACATTTAGGAAAAGTGACTAGTGGTTTTGCAGGTCTGTCTTGAGGATTTTGGAAGAGCTGGCTACTTTTTTTGTTGTTGCTTCTCTAACATTTGTGAGTCTTCTAAAGCTGAGAAAAGAGAATCACCTATCACTGGATATTCGGTATCTTTTTTGGAGTGAGTGGATGGGGAGGCAATCCAATCTAAAGCAAAACTCCATTCTTAAAAAGGCAACTGACCACATTACTGGGTAGTTTCACCTAGATCTTTGCATCCTTTTTACATGGCTATAGCCTATATTTTTAATTCAACTTCCTTAATCTGCAGCCAAAAGAAATGACAAATGCAACCCTCATGCTGCCCTTCCACCCTCTGTGATACTGGACAGACGCGTGGCAGCAGGAGCAGC